TGCAAACCGACTCTTCACTTTCAACTTTCGCTTCCTCGGATGGATGCAAAGTTATACAACCGATAAGAATGAAGGCACCAGCTTCGGTAAATCTTGTTTTGGGATGCGCCTTGCACTTGTCTTCTAGTCGCGATCTCCTCATGAATGATCCGAGCGGTGACTTGTGGGGCCAGCTTGGGTACAGGCCAGTGATTTTATCCTCCCAGGCAAGATATCCATCTCTCCAGACAAATCAGGTTTGAACTAACCGACCTGGAGGGATGGAAGGCTTTGTTGGCCTAGGCGGATATCGACGCGGAATCGAACCCGTGATCATGCGTGAGTGATAGTGCGCAAATTACCATTACACCACCTCTTGATATAGGTGAAAGATAGGCAAAATAGTTCAATCTAGTGGAACGCATCGATACCATGGTTGGCTGGAAGAACTTTCAAAGGAGTCAGGAACGAGAAAGAAATCGGTTGTATCGACTATTGCGAAGTCATGGAAAGGAACCAGTGCCTAAAGCATAACGAAGGAGATAATCTTCACCCGGCTATCTCTCTCTCGCTCTGCTTTTCTCCATAAGACGATAAGACGAAAACGATCAGCTTGACTGTCACGTCGTTTGCTGCCTTTGCTATATTTGGTGGACGCCGCCGGTTCTTTGCGAGATTAGCCCGCTTGTTGGGGAAGCTGATGTTGGGGATCAATGACAGCTTAACAGGAACTGGTTGCTCGGAACTGGTGGCAACAGGTGGAAGGTAGAAACTAAGTAGAAACACAAAGAGCTCGTAGAACACCTTACTTGAGCATTCTCGATGGAAAATCATTTTTTTAAGGATTACTTTGATCCTTTTACCATGCATGCTGTAACGCCGCCATTTCGGATTACTACGCCATTGCTCCTGAGGTAGATGAGGCATCGTTACTGAGTCACTGTGAATCCAAATCAAGCTGCATTTGGCCTATTAAAAGCAACAAAAAACTTTAGCCCTCGGTTCGATGGATGTTACGCTCAAGTTCACGATTCTGATGCAGAATCTCTTTCCTAGTTAGAACAATAGGGTGTAGAGACGAGATAGCTTTCCGCTATCGATCAATCCCACTTTTAGAATGAGCCCCGCACTCGACTCCCATCTAGAATGGTTTTAAATGCGTATGTGGCCTATACAGTGAAATGTGGTGGCCAGCCTATATACAATTCAGTGATTGTGTCCTCCTAGATGGTCCAGTTCGCTAGCCTAGGATGGGAAGAGGCTTGGTCGGGACTCGAACCCAGGACTTAGTGACAGCACGCCAGTTGTCAATATACCACCACTGGTCGTTTAGGAGCTTTGGAGCGAGAAATATGTCAAAGTAATTTTGTTTTTCTCATAGATAGAGCACTTTGACTGTAAGCCTCAATATTTATTCAGAATCAATCTCATCATCATCATACGAGCAATAAAAACGAGGTGGAAGTCTTAGCGAAACGACTAGAGACTGCCAAAAGTTGTACGGATCAGTACGGTAGGGAAAGAGTTTCATCATGGAAAAGAAAGAGGGGAAAAAATCAAAAATCCTAGCTAGAAAAGAGCAATCTCACCCTTGTTCTCAATATGTATGCAGCTCAATTAGGTATGTATTTGTATGTACAACAAAAAATAACGAATAGTAGTAGCATTAATTCCCGTTCCGGAGATCTACGCTTATTGACTAGACGAGAAAATAACGCCACAGTGCAGGTGGCCTAGCGCGAGACAACTAGTCAGTGACACCCCTGCGTCTCTGACCAATAGCCGCTCGCGGTGGGCCTCCTGTACCGTGCCTGGGAAAGAACAAAGCAATGCTTCAAAAGACATATAATTTCAACATTTCAAAAATAGGATTTAATTTTGTCATATGGACATTGTCAGCTGCATGACGGTGATGAGCTGCTAAGCGTTTTTATATAGAACTTAGGTTGTTACAGCACGATACTCCACTTCTTTTTGATACGCAAAGTGTTAAACTAATGCAGATGCGAGTGGTTGCGTTGCAGCTCAAAAATAACCCGACTTCAGAAAAACTAGAAACTCTTAAAGTTTGGCTGGATTTTCTTCTCGAGTACAATCATCGGATACGACGTTCAACAGCCTGCAAAGGGTAACGCGACGCGACCGCTCGCAACACACACCTGCGGGACACCGTTAGCGCATACAATTAGTGGAGCTTACAGGATTGTACCGTATCTCAACGCCATTGCTATGAGGCTGTAGGGTGCCAGACAAAGTGGAACAACAGAATAAGTGACCGTTACTAAATTATGTCGTCAACTAAGTTATCTGTTCCGCAACCCGAACAACTTCACAACTATGACAATTGAAATCGGTATGGATTTTACAGTATCTCATCATAAATCACAAGCATTTTGAGTAATTTGTCATGTTCGATCCGTAAATAGGGAAATTCCTTTGTAATGCTGCATTGTTGCTACCACCGAATCCACCATAACCCATCGTTGAGGGGTTGAAAAAGGCACCGCTCGTCTGAAATGTTCATGGTCCCGTCATAGTGATCAGTTTTACTACAAGTAACGGCTTACCTGTAACCCAGTTGGAATGAGTGATCTGTAATTAGCCGACCAGCCACCTTGCATGAAATCTTGTTGTAATCGATTTACTGTCTGTGGTGATAGGTAATCTGGACCAGCACCGCCTGTTTGTGGTTGCAGTGCTTGAGCTATTCCTGTAACGAAATTAGTTTACTGTACAACCCAAAGGATATCAAAATTGGGCCTTCCATCTATTTTCTGATATTTCAAGCCTCATAGGCCTAGGATGGGGGTATTTCTAGGCCTATGAGGCAAGAATGCACGTTTCCTGAGGGGAGTGTGAACTTTTCTAAATGGAAAAGTTTTAAAGTTTTATTAGCGGCTCTCCACCATTGCAGGCGACAATGGCGAAAAAGAGGAACCTGGACTACTTCTATCTCAATGTGAGGGGCCATTGTTAGGGTTCCTTCTCCCATTCAGACTTCTTCAACCATGTATGACCACCATAACGGCCAAGCTACCCACCACAAAAAAATATCAAATCGCTCTGTCCATGCTACCATGCTTACAATTTCCCTCTAGAATCGTAGCGGCGATTGGATGGGTATTACACTCTTACAATGACTTCAGAAGCAACCAGCTGATACACAAGTAACCACTTTTCACCTCCCGAGCGAGTCTTGTTCCAAATGACCAACCCTGCTCTAATGACCTAGTGAGTATCGACTTGAGACTTGATCCCTGAACCCCAGCAGGACAACTCACCACTTGATCCTGCCCCGCCACCCCCTTTTCTATAATATATTATATTTTCTTTCTTTGCCACCAATGCTATCAACTCTCAACCTATTACTGTTCGAGGAGAATTGAGAAACTATCGAGTGGTTCGAAATCTCTGATGAGGTAAGGCAACGTTATTCAGTTGGTCTGATTCTTTATATCTGAACTGGTCACTTTCATGTCTTTCCATCCAGTTTTCATTCTTTTTACTTTAACCATTTTCACCCTCCTCTCGACTTCTATGCAAATTATTGGCAGAATCGGAAAGTGTGCCTACCTTGGAAATCGAATTTGTAGGCATATCGTTTTCCATGAACTTTGCACATGATATTCTTATCATAGTAATAGCGTAATGCCCGTGACATTTTGTCGTAATTCATATTTGGTTTCGATTTCCGTTCACCCCATTTCCTTGAAAAAACGCTTTACAAAAATATTCTTCAACAACCTTGTCTAACATCGAACTTCACCCTACCTGGCCACTTCATCGGGGTCGACCAACTTGAATTCACCTTGGGTTCCTTCCCAAGTGATCACATCATCGTATCGTTTATCCGCTAATAATTCCAGTAGAAATTGCCACAATTGTGTTTGTCCACTGCCTGAATGGGAGATTTTTAAGTAAGGGACATAATTTTTTGAAACTGGGAAGTAATGTTTCGGAAATTCGCTCAAATGAAAACGGACGGTGGGCGTACCTGAGTGCGCTAGCCGACTACACGTTGGTCCGAGAATTTGGTATGGATCTGCAATAATAATATAATCAATTTTTGTAAAAAATAGTTATTTTTATCTGTGGTTACCACGGACAAAGTTTAAAGTTTCTAGAAAAAAAACAACCCGTTTTGGGGATGCGCCGTGCAAAATTCTTCTATTTGAAATCGTGGTAGCGGTTTGAATGGGTATGCGTTCTATACAATGCTCTGAGGTGCTCAGCCAATGTACGTGTCAGTACTTTTATCATCTCAGAGGAGTCTGCCCAGAAGGGATGAGAGGCTTTTTTGGCCTAAGCTAGCGTCGATCCGGAACCATACGTGTGGTAGTGCGCCATTTGCCACTCCACCACTGCCGCCCTCATCGAGAATGTGAATCCCCCTTCAGAAGCCCTCGAAATTTGCTTGGTCAGGAAGATTNNNCGAAGCTGTAAAATAATCAGCTAACAGGTTGCTGCTATTCGGGTTTTTTACGAAGCGGCATCCCTGGTTTGAGGACGACATATCAGGGATGAAATCTTGCCTCGGACTTTCCACAAAAAAAAAGCATCACGACCCTATCCTACCGTATTTTTGGAGCGGATTCGATTCAGTTCTATTCGTTAGCCCTTCTTGTCCGGGTTCAAAAGCGCGAAAGCTCAGCACGATCGCATGCTTTACCATATTCTCCTTATGTTTCATACCCTACTAGTTGCTAACTCTTGTTAAGTAAGTTATGATCATGACAATAATAGGGGCCCTGGCCTGCCTCATTTGAACTTTCCCTGGAAATTTGCAAGTTCAGCGAAAACCCCGAAAGCGATCGCAGATTTGAGATCCCTACTGTCATTCTGAAGCTCCCTTGGAGCAAGTGAGGCGTAAAAGAATTCGAGTGTCTTGAACTAACGAGCTGAAATAGAGACTCGTCTAGGCTCATTAGTCTGGTCTTGTCTTGTGTCACGCGATTGTTCGCTTTTCACTTAACTCTTACTTGCTATTGCACATCCAGTAACTGAATCTCTTCATTTCATCCACTGTCTCCCAGACTGCCTCGCCAAAATTCACCCTAATCGACAGATTGAGTTGGCTACTCAAAGGGCGACAGCACTGCCATCGCCCCCTCTACCAGCAGCGCCACCAATTGCACCATATTCTGAATTCTTTCTCCGAAAGAATTGGTCTAATTGCCATGCAATGTGTGCACTATCACAATTCACCATGAAAACTACGGTAACTGAAGACGAAGAGGTCAGCCGGGCCTGATTAAGCCCATCCCTCCATAATTGGTACCCATGTAATGTGATTTGTCCCACGTT